TAAAGTATCATCATTGGCTTGGCATCTCATCGTTTTGAAAGTTCTCATTATCCAGCTTATCATTTTCCTCTTGGGTGTGATAATGACACTGTTGTGATAGTGATACTGTTTGATCCTTTAAAGTTAGATCCTCTGACATCACTCCTAAGTCCTTCACATATACAACCTACCAACAACATACAAAAAGCACCAAACACCAGTACATCTTTACCAAGTACTCACATTAGCTCACTAGCACACTGCTACTATTGGTTAAAAAGCATAACCTATTGCATAAACAGGGAGGCTTTGACTTCTCTCCCCCCCCCCCCCGTCCCTCCTGCCGGCCTCTTAGCCTGCAGGCAAAACACTACAAGAGTACTCTCCCAAAACTTAAACAGGCCTCTCCTCATTCTAGGGCCTTACAGATAAACATGAGAGTACCAAAACTGATAAAATAACCTATTGCATAAACTTACCCAAAATAACCCCTTCCCCTATTTACACAAACACCAAACCATGACGGTTTGTTCCAGCTGCCGCTCTCCCCTACTGACTTCAAAACACCTCTCCTGCTCCTGTCCTGTCCAGGATACTCTTCAGGACTAATACGCGTCTCGTTTCAGAACAAATCGCGTAAACTGACATTATATATGGAGCATTTTTTTATATACATTTTCTACAATACACTGCTTAATAGTGGAACGTCGGCGTTCATCATAATGTTTGTTTTGCTGCCGCCTTTGTGAAGTGTGGTTATGTCTGTTGTTTTGTGTGGCAGTGGGATCACTCCGTGTCTAGGTTCATCTCCGAAGAATATTTTAAGCATAATGTTTTAACGAATGTGGAGTTTTACTGATAGAATGGTTATAATTATAACTATAATTTTTAAAGTGGGTGGTGGTGTTAAACGGTGTTAGTCTTAACCGGGCAACAGTGTAACAACAGTCTGGAGCCTTGCCCATCGTAACATTGGTGCAACAGTGCAGCCTTGCCTATAGTAACAGTGTAACAACAGTCTTGAGCTTTGCCCATCGTAACAGTGGGTAATGGTGGTAATATACAACAGTATTATTGTAATATGTGTTAGGGCACCGGGCTGGCCATCTTTATTAAAGACAATTATTGGCTGTGTTAGTGCCAGGCCATTATGGCAGGGATGGCGCTAACAGCCTCGTTACCTCTGCTAGTTTGTCCCAGGACGCACAACCTCAGAGAAGCACGTTTGTTGGGTAAGTGCGAGGTGTGTCGTATGGCAGTGTCAGCTTGTGTGTCGTGTGGCAGGGGCAACCACTGTGGTATATGGTAGTGTCAATCAGTGTGTTATATGGTAGTGTCAACCAGTCTGGTATAGGGTAGCGTCAACCAGTGTGGTATATGGTAGTGACAACCAATGTGGTATATGGTAATGACAACCAGTGTGGTATATGGTAGTGACAGCCAGTGTGGTATATGGTAGTGTCAGTGTGGTATATGGTAGTGTCAACCAGTGTGGTATATGGTAGCGTCAACCAGTGTGGTATATGGTAGTGACAACTAGTGTGGTATATGGTAGTGACAACCAGTGTGGTATATGGTAGTGACAACCAGTGTGGTATATGGTAGTGACAACCAGTGTGGTATATGGTAGTGACAACCAGTGTGGTATGTGGTAGCGTCAGTGTGGTATATGGTAGTGACAGCCAGTGTGGTATATGGTAGTGACAGCCAGTGTGGTATATGGTAGTGACAGCCAGTGTGGTATATGGTAGTGACAGCCAGTGTGGTATATGGTAGTGACAGCCAGTGTGGTATATGGTAGTGACAGCCAGTGTGGTATATGGTAGTGACAGCCAGTGTGGTATATGGTAGTGACAGCCAGTGTGGTATATGGTAGTGACAGCCAGTGTGGTATATGGTAGTGACAGCCATGTGGTATATGGTAGTGACAGCCAGTGTGGTATATGGTAGTGACAGCTAGTGTGGTATATGGTAGTGACAGCTAGTGTGGTATATGGTAGTGACAGCTAGTGTGGTATATGGTAGTGACAGCTAGTGTGGTATATGGTAGTGACAGCTAGTGTGGTATATGGTAGTGACAGCCAGTGTGGTATATGGTAGTGACAGCCAGTGTGGTATATGGTAGTGACAGCTAGTGTGGTATATGGTAGTGACAGCCAGTGTGGTATATGGTAGTGACAGCTAGTGTGGTATATGGTAGTGACAGCTAGTGTGGTATATGGTAGTGACAGCCAGTGTGGTATATGGTAGTGACAGCTAGTGTGGTATATGGTAGTGACAGCCAGTGTGGTATATGGTAGTGACAGCTAGTGTGGTATATGGTAGTGACAGCTAGTGTGGTATATGGTAGTGACAGCTAGTGTGGTATATGGTAGTGACAGCTAGTGTGGTATATGGTAGTGACAGCTAGTGTGGTATATGGTAGTGACAGCTAGTGTGGTATATGGTAGTGACAGCCAGTGTGGTATATGGTAGTGACAGCTAGTGTGGTATATGGTAGTGACAGCCAGTGTGGTATATGGTAGTGACAGCTAGTGTGGTATTATGGTAGTGACAGCTAGTGTGGTATATGGTAGTGACAGCTAGTGTGGTATATGGTAGTGACAGCTAGTGTGGTATATGGTAGTGACAGCTAGTGTGGTATATGGTAGTGACAGCCAGTGTGGTATATGGTAGTGACAGCTAGTGTGGTATATGGTAGTGACAGCCAGTGTGGTATATGGTAGTGACAGCTAGTGTGGTATATGGTAGTGACAGCTAGTGTGGTATATGGTAGTGACAGCTAGTGTGGTATATGGTAGTGACAGCTAGTGTGGTATATGGTAGTGACAGCTAGTGTGGTATATGGTAGTGACAGCTAGTGTGGTATATGGTAGTGACAGCTAGTGTGGTATATGGTAGTGACAGCTAGTGTGGTATATGATAGTGTCAATGGTTTTCGGCGGACATTGATATATTTGGTGCAGTCTTTGCATGCATCCACAGTTACCTTGTGGCTGCTGTCGTACTTGTTCTTGAAGCTGGGTATGGATGTTCCCACCGCCTCCTCTAGCTCATTTGTCTTTCACATTGGAACTAAAACACTTGGTAACGTGGCTGTGGCTGTTACATTGTTAGTGTTTTACCTCTCAACCTTCATCACCTCATCTCTCGAAATTTGCAATACATAACTAGTTTTCTCTTGGTTTTGCAACAGTTTGAATCTTTGCATTGTCCTGTAGCTCAGTTGGTATCAGGCTCAGCTCACATACTGAGTGTCCGGGGATCGATCCCCTGCATGGGGCATGTTTCCTTACCTTTGCTGCACCTGTGTGTACTTGAGTGTTAGTAGACTGGTGGGGTTGGCATCCTGAGGGTTTTTAGTCTACCTCAGATAAGGTTGGGATTTGAAATGAGGCGTGTGTGGTACCTGGGTGACCAGGCGTGTGTGGTACCTGGTTGACCAGGCGTGTGTGGTACCTGGTTGACCAGGCGTGTGTGGTACCTGGTTGACCGGGCGTGTGTGGTACCTGGTTGACCAGGCGTGTGTGGTACCTGGTTGACCAGGCGTGTGTGGTACCTGGTTGACCAGGCGTGTGTGGTACCTGGTTGACCAGGCGTGTGTGGTACCTGGGTGACCAGGCGTGTGTGGTACCTGGGTGACCAGGCGTGTGTGGTACCTGGTTGACCAGGCGTGTGTGGTACCTGGGTGACCAGGCGTGTGTGGTACCTGGTTGACCAGGCGTGTGTGGTACCTGGTTGACCAGGCGTGTGTGGTACCTGGTTGACCAGGCGTGTGTGGTACCTGGTTGACCAGGCGTGTGTGGTACCTGGTTGACCAGGCGTGGTGGTACCTGGTTGACCAGGCGTGTGTGGTACCTGGGTGACCAGGCGTGTGTGGTACCTGGGTGACCAGGGTGTGGTACCTGTTGACCAGGCGTGTGTGGTACCTGGTTGACCAGGCGTGTGTGGTACCTGGTTGACCAGGCGTGTGTGGTACCTGGTTGACCAGGCGTGTGTGGTACCTGGTTGACCAGGCGTGTGTGGTACCTGGTTGACCAGGCGTGTGTGGTACCTGGTTGACCAGGCGTGTGTGGTACCTGTTGACAGGCGTGTGTGGTACCTGGTTGACCGGGCGTGTGTGGTACCTGGGTGACCAGGCGTGTGTGGTACCTGGTTGACCAGGCGTGTGTGGTACCTGGTTGACCAGGCGTGTGTGGTACCTGGTTGACCAGGCGTGTGTGGTACCTGGTTGACCAGGCTTCAGAAGAAGTTTATAGGAACAACTCTTAAGAGACAGTCCTCAGAACATACACATTACAAGAACGTTTCACTTTGTCTAGAGTCCAGAGCTTCATCAAGTCTTGACTGAATGAAGCTCTTCATAGAGTGAAATTTTGTGCTTCTGTATAGTTGTAGTGTTCCCTGTGTGTTTATCATCATCATCGTCATCGTCAGTGATACGGCATTTCATCTATTTTGAGCCATCTGTCTTTTATCTTCCCTCACAACCTGTTAAACCTCAGTAAGGAGTCACAGTGTTGCTCACTTCCCATCTTGTCAGGGACTGCTTCCTCTTGTCTTTCCTTAGTCCATGATAATGTATACCAGATTGTCTTTTTTTTTTAGGGGCCTCGTAATGGTTCCTGGGCTACTCTCTCTAATATTATCAACCAGTTTATCTGATTCCAAACTTTTAGGGTCCAGTCATACCCTATCTTGAGACTGTGTATAGTGTATATTTCCAATACCTCTTCATCTACTTCGTTCGTCTTAATTATGAATGGCGGGTGACGTCACACACTCAAAATGTTTTCATGGTTTTTGTTTTAGTTTGTCAAAAGAGTTATTAAGCACATCTGTACGTTTACTATATTTATACGTAGTTGGTATAATATGTTACATCATGGTGACCAAACACTCCGCAGCAGCAGCAACAGCAGCAGTAGAAGCAGAAGCCTCAAATAATATGATGATTAAGTTAATGTAGCGATAATTGGAATATAAACAGTTTGACTTACGGTGATGTGATTGTGTTTCAGAGGCTGGGGGAGCTGAGTTGGTGAGCAGGAGGCTGGAAGCAGTCATGTGTAAGGTAAGACAACTTTATTATGTGTATTGGTGTAGATTCTTTAATACTGTGTGTGTGTGTGTGTGTGGTGTGTGTGTGTGTGTGTGTGTGTGTGTGGCTGTGTGTGTGTCTGTGTGTGTGTCTGTATTATTATTACCAGTCTTCGTGTCTTGTGTGTTAGTGTAGTGTACCTTGTTTGTCTTAGTTTAGCGATTTTTGGTGAATTCCGTATTCATTATCAGGTGCAAGAAATCTTGTATCACGTTGAAATATCTTTCAACGCTGGAGTCTGGACACAGTCATCCCTCAGTCATGATAACGGATATATTCCAACTCCACGAAGGTGGTAGCAGAACAGTCGCAAAAAAAAAAAAATGATAGTGACGTTCCCTATTATTAACCTCTTTGACAGAATTTAAAGACGCAAGATCGGTAAACAAACAAGGTCACAGCAGTTGCACAACCCAGAGCAGCATGAGTTGCTAGCAGGTCGTTCCTGCCTCTCGAAACTACTGGACCACTATGACGTGGTCTTGCATGCACCGAGATCCAGACAAAATGCATGCCATTGGGCACAGGCATCTGTACAGAGAACCTTCACTCCTCGTACAAATTCAAACACCTGAATTACTTAAAAAGCTTGAAGTCCCTCCATCTGTACTCCTTGGAAGGTGGGCGAGAAATATATTTCTTAAATACAAAAAAAAAAAATCTTAGTGACTGGTCCTTCGACTGCACACACACGTCTCCAATAAAATCAGAGGTGCCATGAGTACATAGATAACACAATAAATGTAACGGAATCAAAACTTTTCAACAGTCTCCCTGCATACAAAGGAGTTATCAACAGATCCTGGCTGTCTTCAGCAGGGAACTTTATTAGTTCTCCAAGTCAGTTCTTGATAACCGGTCTGTGGTGCATACGCTGGACATGTGGATACCACCAACAGCCTAGTTGATCAAGTCATTCACTGGAAGACCTGGTCTGGGACCTGGCTGCCGGGAAGGGGGGAAGAAGACTCCCCAAGATCTTCTCCAGGTACACGCCAGGTGTCTTCATGTTTTGTATCTGGGAGTACTTGTTGTAGTGTAATAGTTGTGCACTAATACTTGTGTGTTGGTCGAGGTCTGTGTCTTGTTATCATCCGGTATAGTGATGTTTGATACAACATTATGGTGTTAACATAGGATGTTTAGCACTGGGAATGTGCTTAGTACTGGGTCTTGTGTACCATTATATTGTTAACATAGTATATATCGATGGTATGAGGATTCTTATGTATAATGACCTACAATAAAGAAAAATGTTGCCCTCTCACTAACACTTAAAAAGTGAAAGAAATAAGCGTCAGATATTGTCTATAAGGTAGGTTGACAGATGTCTTGAAGGTGTGCAGAGCAAGTTCCCAAACTGTGATGTTTACCTGGCACTGAGATCATCGAGTACCAATAGTCTCACTAGTCAGGTTGTTAGCAAGACGACCTGGATTGGGACCGGGCCGTGGGGACGATGATCACTGAAACAATAATCACTGCTCAGGTAATCTTCTGGTAAATGTATTACATTGCGTACTTAGTAATATTACCAACATTGGTGAGAAGTGACTGTTGTGTCTAGTGCACGACATATAAGAAGAGAGATTAGAGAAGAGTAAGTATAATACCAGTACGGAAGTCGACTAAAGATTACATATGCAGTGTGATGCATCAGATTTACTGCGTGTGTTAAGGGACGCCTGAGTTACTGTCTCCTAATATGTTCATTTTTGCCCTATAGATTATAGGGAAAAATGAACATGTTATTAGAAGACGGGGGAACTGACGTGCCTCTTAACCTAACTTAAACAATGAGAACTTCCCTAGTTACATTTATTTGCATTATTCTATAAAAACTATGTACGGAAATGGTAACATTAACGGTAGAAGAGTCGAGGTTTGCACTGCGCCTGCTTCCTCCTTCCCCTCTCACCTCCCTCTCATTCCCCACTCCTTTCCCCTCCAGTGTTCATTCTCAGAAGTAGGGCAAGCTACTAAAAATTCACAATACCTGTTCCAAATATGTAACGTGAAAACCATGATAACTGCAACAAACACGTAACCTCAGGAGCATGTCAACTGCTGCTTATACACAACTTAGGGAGCATGATAACATGCATTAGTAGTTAGGGCGCCGTTGTAAATGATCGCAACTTTTAGGCCCTAAGTGGAATATCAGAAATGAAAATAGGAAGGGCTGGGCTAGGGTAGAGCAGTGAAAAGACAGGTGGTGGGTAAACAGAAGAGACGTAAGAAAGTTGCAACGACAAAACTGACAGTAGCTAAATAAGATGCATATGGAACAATATACAAATAACCCGCACATAGAGAGAAAAGCTTATAACGACGTTTCGGTCACACTTGCACAATTTATAAAATCACAATAACACAAGAGTTAGGTAAGTTTGTCAGGAAACAGGACAAGAGTTTCCTGACGCGGGTCTTAGTCATATGATGACCCGGCGCTGGAGCTTTTGGTCATCTGACCAAGGCCTTCCACTGGTTTGCCGCTCCACCCCCTTTAAAAATTATGGTTATAATTAAAAGAGAAAGGGAACCAGTATATATAGGAGAGGACAGGGACGGGACAGGTCTCGTACATGGAACGAACTCTTCTCTAAGCTGAGGGACTGACCACCTCAAATACGTCATTATTATTTCACTACACCTGCTGCCGCTGTATTTGACTGAAGCAGCTTACTGTGTAGGCGAAACGTTTCAATAATAAAGATACCCAACTGTTGCATGTGTGTCTTGCTCATCAACATAATTCTAATGAACTAAGTTGCAGTTATTTATTTTTTCCAAGAAACCAGCCGTATCCCACCGAGGCTGGGTGGCCCAAAAATAAAACCGAAAGTTTTACTTATGTTAGTAATTTATACAGGAGAAGGTATTATGACCATCTTGCTCTGGGCATTTTAGTCGCCTCTTACGACACACATGGCTTACGGAGGAAGAATTCTGTTCCACTTCCCCATGGAGATAAGACGTAATAACGAACAGGAACTATTAAGAAAATAGAAGAAACCCATTTATATATATATATATATATATATATATATATATATATTATATATATATATATATATATATTTGTATATGTAAAACTTGCTATCTTGGCTTAAATAGCAACGCTCATCTTGCCATATAAGACAAACGAAAATTTATGTATGCAATTATTTCTCTAAAATCATTCTGAACCTAACTAAAAAAATATATTTCACTGTGTTTGTTTGGTATTAAATTGCTGTAAACGTATTTAAAAAAATATTTAGTTGGATTAGCCAAAATAAATTGCGCTTGTTATAAGGTTAGGTAAGTTTTCTAAGATTCTTTTGGTGCAAAATTATAAATTTTAGCATCAACATTAATGAAAAAAATATATCATTAAACATATAAGAGAAAATTTTAGAAAGGACTTAATTTTAAATGAGTTCTTGCTAATTGACCAGTTTTACCTATTAGGTACGACATATATATATATATATATATATGTGTGTGTGTGTACTCAGTTGTGGATGCAGGGGACCAGTCACAGCTCCTGACCCGGCCTTTTCATTGGTCGCTACTAGGTCACACTTCCTGCTCCATGAGTTTTATCATACCTCTTCTTAAACCTGTGTGTGGATTCTGCCTCCACTACATCACTTCCCAGACTATTCCACTTCCTAACAACTCTGTGACTGAAGAAATAGTTCCTAACATCCTGTGATTCATCTGAGTCTTCAACTTCCAATTGTGACCCCTTGTTCCTGTGTCCCCATCTCTGGAACATCCTGTCTCTGTCCACCTTGACAATTGCTCTCAGTATTTAATGTCGTTATCACATCACCCCGTCCCCATCCCTCCTGTCCTCCAGTGTCGTCAGGTCGATTTCCCTTAACCTGTCCTCATAGAATATGCCCCTTAGCTCCGGGACTAGTCTTGTTGCAAACCTTTGCACTTTCTTTAATTTCCTTGTGTGCTTGGCTAGGAGTGGGTTCCAAACTGATGCTGCATACTCCAATATAGGCCTGACACACACGGTGTACAGGGTCCTGAACGATTCCTTGTTGGCATGTCGGAATGCTATTCTTAGGTTTGCTAGGTGCCCATATACTGCCGCAGTTATTTGGTTGATGGGCACCTCAGGAGAGGTGCCCGGTGTTATACTCACCCGAAATCTTTCCCTTGGGTGAGGTTAGTAGTCTCTGGACTCCCTAGACTGTACTCAGTTTGTAGTCTTCTTTGTCCTTCCCCAATCTTCATGATTTTGCAGTTGGTGGGGTTGAACTCCAGGAGCCAGCTTCTGGACCAGGCTTGCAGCCTTTCCAGATCCCTTTGTAGTTCTGCCTGGTGCTTGTCCGATTGAATTCTTCTCAACTTCACATCATCTGCAAACAGGGACACTGAGTATTCCTTCTCTTATGTCATTCACATATACCAGAAACAGCACCGGTCCTAGGACTAACCCCTGTGGACCCCCGCTCGTTACAGGCGCCCACTCTGACACCTCATCACATACCATGACTCGCTGTCTTCCTAACAAGTATTCCCTGATCCATTGCAGTGCCTACCCTGTTGTACCTGCCTGGTCCTCCAGCTTATGCACTACTCTCTTGTGTGAAACTGTGTCAAAAGCCTTCTTACAGTGCAAGAAAACGCAATTTGCCCACCCCCTCTCTCTTGTCTTACCGCTGTCACCCTATCATAGAACTCTCAATAGGTTTGTGACACAGGATTTCCCATCCGTGAAACCCTGCTGGTTGTCGTTAACCTCATTCCTTTCTAGATGCTCCTTTAACTTTGATATACCTTTGAATTTCGAGAGTATATCTACTCTCTGAGCCCGGCCATGGGCCAGGCTCGTCTAGTGCTCGCCTGGTCAACCAGGCTGTTGCTGCTGGAGGCCCGCTGCCCCACATATCCATCACAGCCTGGTTGATCTGGCACCTGGTGAAGATACTTGTCTAGTTTCCTCTTGAAGGCTTCATCACTTGTTCCAG